TTCCACTTCTAGCTTAACTTTAAAGGCACACCATAGTCACCAGAAAAACTACAGCTTATTGTATTTGTTCTGGTGAGTAGAATCATTCCCTTCAGGCTTTTTGCAGTAAACACTGTCTTTTCAGAGAAAATGCATTGTTACATTACAGCCTAGTGATAACTGCCCTGTCCACTCATAAGATGGCTACTAGAGGTACTTCCTGGGGCTGTGCTGCACAGTGTGCAGCACTGCCATTCAGTTTGTCCACCCTCTATATGGAGACAGTAAACTTTCCTCATAGAAATGCATTGATGAGGAGATGCTGATTGGCCAGGGCTGTGTTTAACTTGTGCTGGCTCTGTCCCTGATCTGCCTCCTTGACAGTCGCAGCCAATTTTATGGGAAAATATTGTGATTGGCTCAGAGAATTACTTCTGATTATGTCAGCCAAGCAGGCAGATCAGAGACAGAGGCAGCAGCTTCCGACTATTGTGCAAATACAAGAGCGCTTTCACATTATAAGAGAAAAAGAGAACTGTCACTTCTATGGAAATTACACAATTGAATAAAACATTGAAAACAACATGTTAACCTTTTATTTCATGTGATGCTCTATTTTCTTTTAATCTTATAGCAAACATGTAGCAGATTACAATCCAGTTCAGTTCAGGCACAGCCAGGGTGCACATGCAAATGAGTAGGGGGAAAAGCAACATTGATTAATTTCTTCTCTGTATTTTCTCTATGCTGAGTGCCTGGTGCAAAGGACAGAGCTTGTAATCAGATGGAGGCGTTCAGATGCAGGATAAGAAGGACTGGATTTCACACTTTAAAAATACTTTGTTTGTTAAATAGAGGGGGTAAGTAAACATAACATCAACAATCCTGGGATGATGCTGTCCCCTTTGAACTGAAAGGCAAAGATAGATGAAGATCTGATTGATGCACAACATAAGATTCCACAGAGTAATGCATTTTATGATAAGATCTGAATTATTTTTATCTACATGGACCAATGAGAGGTAGCCCTTTAAATATGGCTAGAGGTAGGTAGTCTAAATAAAGAGTTTAGACATAGAGGAGCTACAGTTTCTTCTACCCAGTCTGACCGGAAGTGCGTGCAGTGAGCACCGAACAGCTTCCTGTCAAACCTGTTTGAGGAAACAGGAGCTCCTCTACTGCGGTCTGTGGTTTAGCCGCTTTACATGGACGAGGTGGGTGAGCTGGCATGGGGAGGAGAGGCACACAGATGACTGGGAGGAGAGGCACACAAAGGGCTGGGGCGAGAGGCTACAGAAAGGCTGGGGATGGACAAAGACACACAAAGGGGCTGGGACGTACAAAGAGACACAGGGGCTTTGGAGAACAAAGGCGACCAGAGGGGCTGAAGAGCTCAAAGAGACATACAGAGGGGCTGGGGGGATGACAAAAAGACACACAGAGGGGCTGGAAACAGAAAAAGACACAAAGAGAAACTGGGGAAGAGACACACAGAGGGGTTGTGGGGAGAATGAGGCAGACTAAAGTGCTGTGTGAAAAGAGAAACACAGAGTGGCTGAGGAAGGAGAAAAAGAGACACACAAAGGAGTTGGGGGAGAAAGAGACAAACAAAGGGGCTGGGGGAAGAAAGAGACATACAAAATGGGCAATTTTTGTTTTTTTGAGAGGGGTGCAAGTAGCCTGACTTGCCTAGGGAGCAAAATAGTCTTGCACTGGCCCTGCACAGATCCCTCCCACTGCGCTCTGGCCTGGGTGACCTTCACACCTTTAGTCCTGAGTGCCACGTCTACCTATTGCCTTGAGAAAGTCAATACATACAGAGGAAATCCTGGATCCTAATTACTAATGGTGCAAAATAGCAAGTGAATTAAAGGCATATGCCTACACACTATTTCTCTCTCAGTTGCAGTGTAATTTACTGAGTTTTTAAATGGTTATAGTTCTGCATGGCGGGATAAAAACCCTTTAATGTACTCAAAGTTTGATGAAAACAGACAGAAGACAGATATTGCTTTATATAGCTTTAAATCAGATGTAATGCACTAAAATCAGAGGGCTTGCTTAAATGGACCCTGCAAGCACCCTGACCACTTCAGTTCATTGAAATAGTCTGGGTGCAATGTCCATGTCCCACTTAGTCCAGCAATGTTAAACATTGCAGTTTTAGAGAAACTTTAATATTTATATTGCAGTACTAAGACAGCTTTGAATGGTTGTCTACCAGAAAGCCACTAGAGGCGCTTCCGGGAGTTTATTGGACTCTAGGTCCCATAAATGACGCTGGAAGTCATCACGCTCTGCATGGAGACATCCAGCGTCAGTGAAATCCCCAAAGAAAAGCATTGATTTAATGTTTTCCTATGAGGAGAGCCTAATGTGCTTGCGGTGCTGGCTGCGCATGGGCATTAGGTCCACCAGTTAGATGACATTAGAGGAGGTGGATTGTGACCCTGCTCTGGAATCGGGTGAGGGGGATGCGAGGGGGACAGGACCAGAGGGCACTATAGTGTTAGGAATAGAAATTTCTATTCCTAACACTAAAGATTCTCTTTAAATCGTATGTGTCATCTCTAGGCCTGTTGCATCGTACAATTAGGATAATATCAACAGGGCAGATTTTTGTGACTGCTGACAGATTACTCATTAAAGGACCACTATAGGCACCCAGACCACTTCAGCTCAATGAAGTGGTCTGGATGCCAGGTCCATCTAGTATTAACTCTGCAGCTGTAAACATAGCAGTTTCAGAGAAACTGCTATGTTTCACTGAGGGTTAATCCAGCCTCTAGTGGCTGTCTCACTGACAGCCGCTAGAGGCGCTTCCGCGCTTCTCGCTGTGAAAATCACTGTGAGAAGATGCTGACGTCCATAGGAAAGCATTGAAAAATGCTTTCCTATGGACTGTTTGAATGCGCGTGTGGCTCTTGCCGCGCATGCACATTCAGCTCTGAAGTCGGTAGAGGTAAGTGTTTAACCCCTTCAACCCCCTTCAGCCCAGCAGAAGTGGGACCCTGAGGGTGGGCTTCCTGGCCAAGTTTGTTTTCCTGGCACTATAGTGGTCCGTCAAGCAACCTCAACACTTTTCAAGAAATCCCATGTTTTGGTGAAAATAGCTCTTATCATAGCCTTACATCTCCACTCACTCTTCCCCATATTCCATATGGTTTCCTACATGCTCCAATAACTTGGACGTCGGCTAGCACATGTAACTATTTATCACACAAAACTGTACCTGTTTCACATGGGCTCCAGACTACTCTTCATCTTTACAGAATATTATGGCAGCTCCGAACAAACTTTATTACCATACCTTATAAGTCGTTCATATTGTGTGGCTATCTTCATACTGTGTCGGAAGGTGGTATTGTGTAGCAGATTTCAAATATCTCTGTGCACAGAGGCAGGTCTGCTCAGAGCAGGGCTTTCTACTTATGAAAACTTTTAGCTGAGCTACAACTCCCGGAAACCTTTGCTGTGTATATAAAGCTACATTGCTACAGTTATACATAGTTACCTCCGTGTTATTAGACAAAGTTTATGGAAAGAAAGACAGAAAGTGAGCTGTGAAAACAATACACTGTTCCAGTAAACAGCAAGAAGGCAGTGTTTTAAATTGGAATAATAGCAGAGGAATTAGGGTTAAGATGCAGAATGCTTCAAAACATTAAGTCTTTTTTTTGTGTGTGCAAAATCGATACAAATTGAACATTCAAAAATACAATAATTTATGTAGGCCCGCAGATACAAAATGTACAAAAAGTATGCTGATGACGCAATTGTTCCTTTAAATCATTTACTTCTCTGGATTGTTGTAGTTTTTTTTTTGTTAAAAGAGACATCTACTAAAGGGAGGGAGAGAACAGATTAGGAAATGGAGAAATCAGAATGTAGATAGGTAAGGTGCACTTGTTAATTACAGTACTCCGTTAAAGGTCACATTGAATGCATTTCGCAATTATCACCTCTACCTCTCAATGTTTTTATGTGCAGACCACCCACAGAGATTCAGAGTTCCAAATCTCCCTGAAATCTGTCTCTTTACAACTCATATTCTTTTATCATTGGATCTCTAATTTATCATGTTAAAACGAACCCTGTCAACAAATGACCTTTGTATTTTTCATGTTTCATCATATGTCTTTTTGACAATAATGGATGCAATGTGCTTTAATTAGAGTAAATGCCTTGTTACTAAAGACCTCTTGACAAATTAGCCACTGTCTCTGCTAGTCTGCAATTCTAAAAAAAAAATCCAAACAAGGTGTATTTATATTAATGAGAAAAAGGGGGTTTTCTTAAAAAACAAAAATTTCAAAAGATATTCAAGGATATTTAGGCAACTATGGATTGATGGGAATTCATAGAGAGTTTAACAATTTAGGTCAAAATATGAAACATAGTTGAATTGGAGCCTATATATTAAATTCCATTTGAATTCCTTACAATTTACACTTTAACAGATTAACAGATTAACCCTCACTGAAGACCCTGGTCATTAAACCAGGCATTGTTGACGGTCAATAAAGGAACTGCAAATGATAGATCTATGCAGTTAAAGATGTTTTCCAAGCTCCATGACCACCTAATTGATTTGAAGTAATCATGGTGCCTGGAGTCTGTATGTGCAGCATTTTGTTTTGTAAACTGCACATACAGAGATTAACCACTTAGCTGCTGGAGGTGTAAATCCATCTCGGGCAGTGCCATTGGGTTGTTATCAGCCAGCCTGGAACTGAAATTCCTGGCTGGCTAATGTTAATTCTGTGCAATTTTTGTTGCACAGGCAGTCAGTCAAGTACTGAGACTGGTCAGCTGACACTCTCAGCCAGTGAATGATGATGGCCAGGGTTCTGCCCTCTGCAGCTCTGCAAAACATCACCGAACCACCAGAGATCATCAGAGCCTGGCGAGGACCCATGTCAGAGCAAAACATCACTAAATTGTTTGTACTATTACTGGGAAAGAGGGCCAGGATATTCTGGAATCATAATCACTAAAGCAGGCTTCCCCAAACCCCAGCCCTCCAGACATTGCTGAACTACAACTCCCATTATTCTATGAAAATAGAATGAAATAGATAGGCTGAGAATCATGGGAGTTGTAGTTCAGCAACATCTGGAGGGCTGGAGTTTGGGGAAGCCTGCTCTAAAGTGAGCTGTAAAGGTTAAACTTAAGACTTTAAGTTTCCAATTCTGCTACTTTGCACAATAATCTAAACTTTTGTCATTTCCAGTTTTGTGTACACGACCCACATTGTATACTATTCAGTAAGGTTTAATAAAAAAAAAAATAGAAAGCAAGAAAGCAGGCAAAACAAACAATCATGTACAATAAACATATGTAATATTCAGTTCACATTTAACTAGCATGGCAAATGTTTAAGTGATTACAGGGTTTACTAATCTTAAATGACTTAAAACGAGTTAATGTTGGTTGACAGCTAAATTGAAAACATTAAGAGGATATGTCTTATTTAGGATAAGAACATTTTTGCATCCAGCACAATTCAAGATTATAAGCAGACTTAACATTTGTTCTCATTTTTCATATATTTATAATTGATGTAACTATTGACTTTCTAGTGTTCATGCATGCAAGTATGTATGATGGCATTTAATGTACATGCATAACAGGATGCACACTTTTGCTATTAATTTTATTAGATTAATTAATAAATATGTATGAGAATTGAATGGAAGCATTGGGGTCAAATCATTTGCACAAGTTCTTTTAGCACGTTTTTTCTTTCATATCTGTCACTGATTTCTATAATAGATAATTGGAAATGGGTTTGTGTAAAATGTACAGCTGTACAACTTTCCTTATTTTCCCATAAATCCATGAGCAATTAAAGGAGTAAGGAGTTATGGTGCAAGCATTTTTTATTAGAAGGAGGGATCATGGGAAATATAAGTGGCATTTTGTAAAGAGTGGGAAAATGTAGGCCAACATCTCCTATTTATGCAAAAAAGCTTTAGGTAATTTATTATTTGAAATCAAAACAGATGTGGCAGTAACACTTTAAGCATCATACTCACTACAGTGTCCTGTAGTGGTTATGATGCCAATATTGTCCTGGTGCCTACCTAATGTAAGTAGTCAAACTGTTTAGTAATAGCTTGAAGTCTTGCCTGGGGTTTATCAAATGTTGCTACCTGCCTCCTCACATCTGGAAGCTTATTGGCTAATCCAGATGTTCCCAAATTGTGTGCCACGGCGCCCTGGTGCGATGGAAACGTAGGGGCACCACAATATATTTTCCCGGTGCTATGATGATAGAGAGATCTCCCTCTCCGGCCCGTTAGCAGTGTAATGCTGGCACCTGGCGGGGGAGGGAGGGAGAGAGAGAGGACCCGGGGAGCTCTAACCTGCAGCTCCGCCGGGTTCTCCTCTTGTGAGCTTGGAGCGTTGCTGCGGTTACCGCAGCAACTCTCAGAATCTCGCGAGAGTGAACTCTAGCAGCTCCTGAGGCTGCTAGAGTTCACTCTCACTACCTGGACCACCAGGGCTCCCCCACCGGACTACCAGGGATTGCCTTGTACTGTCCCACCTCCCAAGCAAAGGTAAGCAGGGAAGGGGATATCAAAATTACCATTTTTAAAAATTAAAATATATATATATTTATAAATCTACCCTCCAACCCCAGAGACCCACAATAATTCTCCCCTATACCTACACACTGCCCCCAATACAAACACACTTCCCCCTGTACACACACACACACACTGCCCTTATACACACACACACACACACTGTCACGACTGCTATTGTGGTCCAACACGCAGAACTATGTAACATCTACATAGACAGTAAGGCAAAAGGACAGAAAGTAAACTGGTCCTTAGAATGGGCAGAGAATGGTCAAGTGAAAGCCGGAAGCCAGAAATACACGAGAACGGTATGTAAAGCCAATCGGGTGCAACCACATGCAGCTGCGAGCCAGGGGCCGTGACACACACACACACAAACACACACTGCCCCCATACACACACACACACTTCCCCCCATACACACACTGCCTCCCTTACACACACACTGTCCCCCATACACACACATACACTGTGCCCCATGCACACACCGCACCCCATACCACACACTGCCCCATACACACACACTGCCCCACACACACACTGCCCCCATACACATGCACTGCCCCCTCGCACACACTGCCGCCCTCAAGCACACTCTGCCCCCTTAAACACACTCTGCCCCCCACACACAGTGTACCCATCAACACACATACACTGACCTATCACACACACACTGCCCCATCACACACACACTATATCCCTCACGCACACGCTATACCCCTCACAAACACACTGTATCCTTCACACACACACTGTATCCCTCACACACACACTGTATGCCTCACACACACTGAATCCTTCAAACACACAGACACAATGCACCCCTCACACACACACTAAACCCCACACACATTGCACCCCCCAAACACACACACACACACACACACTAATGCCTCTACTCTACTAAAGTCCCTATCTTGGCAGACCACAGGTAAGTCGTCAAACTGTTCTTAAACAGCTTGACTACTTACCATGGCCAGTGTGCTGTAGCGGTTATTGTACCTGGATTGTTACAGGGGCCCAGTTTATGCCGCAGCGCTGTACATGTATACAACCTAGAATTTTTTTGGACTACTGAGATAAGCTCAGTAGTCTGGGGACAGCTAATTGGCTGAGAGATTTAGAACTAATGGTCCTAAGATCCTAAGCAGGAGCTTCTTTTTCTCCTGACCGCTAAAAGGAGGTGGGGAGTAGCACCTGACAGACCACGGTAAGAAGTCAAAGACTTTCATTATGTATGGTATTTAACTAGTTGTACATTTTTCAGCTTGTGTCTCTCTATTCCTCTTCTAATTGGAAGAAAAGGGAGTGGGTAATATAATGCAAAAGTTTTTGCCAGGGAATGCATCTGGCCAGCTCATTGCATTATTGTAGCTTAGATGCCCTGGAGCGTCACGTTAAAACACATACCATACAAATACAACACACACACACTCAGAAGATACACACACAGACATACAGATACACACACACACACTGACAGAGACACACATTGGCACATACACACACAGATACACACACTGACAGATACACACACTGGCACACATTCACACACTCATATACACACTGATAGATACACTAACACACAGATACACACACTGGCAGGTACACACTGGCACATATACACACTGATAGATCCTGGTAAAATATTTTATAAATAAATAAAATATTTTATAAATAAATAATAGATACACTGACACACAGATATGTACGCTGGCAGCTACACACACAGATACATACACACACAGATGCACACACTGGCAGGTACATACACAGATATACACATGGGCAAATACACACACTGGCACATATACACACACTCAGATACATGCTGATAGATACACTGACACACAGATACACAAACACAGATACACACACTTGCAAATACACACAGACCCACACATACTCTATTCACTAAACTGTTGACTGGAGAGTTGGCTTGCAAAATTTAAACCAAGATAAATAAATTGCTTTAGTAACTAGAGCCATATATTTCTAAAGACACTACAGCTAAAGATAAATCTTGCTTAATATCCTACAATAAATGTATAGTCCAGTGATGAAATAGTTTATGAATAATAAATAATTGCTGCAGTAGGTGCTCAAAATAATAATATAAGTATGATGTCATGCACATATGGCCCATTGTTTATTCCGCTCTAAATTACAGCATCACTTTGGGTAAACATTAATATCTATTTATTAATGATACCTGGAATCAATCTGACTCATTGCTTTCATTAGAGTGATTAGTACCTCTTTTTAATCAGATGTAATCACCCAGTTTAGGGACCAAATACGCTGTGCACAAAATGAGATCTTAGAGGCACAATCTCCTAATCCTTAGTTAACATAGAAAGAAATGAAGAGGTAACAGATGGAATTTGATTATTCCCTACTCTATCGGGCCGGCCAGGCTTGTACAACTTGGCAGGGAGGGGTGTAGAGGCACAGCGGCTGTTTTTTTGAAGAACATGAAAAGAAAATGAATCTCCTTTTATACATAAAAAACATATTTATACTGAACTCCCTGTGTTTGAAAAGCGAGGTCAAATAACTCGCTTTAATACAGAGTGCTTTCAAGCATATTCTTAAAGAACCAGTGTCAACTGCCCTGATTCTTCAAATACAATAAATCTACTTATTTGGGGATAGAAATTGCATGACATAAGCTTTCAAAACTCATCAGGGACTGCAAACGCATCCTTCTTATTCTGCAACTGCAGGCAATTGAGTATCACATTGCACGTCCCATATTTCTTTAAGGTAATTGTAATATTACATGCATTTAATCTTCTCCTTTTATGTCCAATGCATGCGCCTCTAATCTCTCGGACTCAGAAACAGCCTAATCGGTTATATCATCTTTTAATTAATTTACTGCTTTTTAAAGTCTGTCTGTATAACAGGTGGAGTTAGAGCGACTGATCACAATTCTAAATGTCACTATAATTTTTAAACGCAGATACCCAGCAAGGCCCTAATTTACCTGATTTACTTTAGATAAGGCTAGAATGGTGGTGGAAACAAATGTAAAGTCTTGGTGTCAACTAATTTTGGGGTTCTCTAGTTCCAACAAAACTTACTTTCACTTTATTCCAACAGATGCTTAATGTAAAGAGCTACTTAGTATACAGAATTCATATGCTGCAGGAATACAATTTAATTTATTAACCAAAGCAGTGATCTTTAGGGCCCTTCTTCACTGGATCTTTCCAGGAACATATGCAGGGTTATTTACTAAAGTGAGAATTCAAAGGGTGGGGTGGGGGGGTGGAGCAGACGCCGAACATAATGGCCGCATGAGAGCAGAGCTCTGGATGGACAGGTGCAGAGGCGTAACTAGAAACCACGGGGCCCTGGTGCAAAAATTGCCCTGGGCCCCCCCATAGTTTACCCCTCCATAGGTCACCGCCCCCCCGACAACCCCGCACCTCCCCACACAGACAGACAGACAGATACACACGCAGACACACACACAGACACATACAGGCACACATACATGTAGACACAAACATACGTACAGACACA